TAAATGAATATTGTCAAGCAACGTACTGTTCAATACATTATATCGGTCCTTACGATTGAAAGTCTGTAGAGTGACTATACCCAGTTCGACAACTCTTTTTATATTATATGGTGTTATGATCATACCAAATGGGGAGCGGTCACTTAAAACTCCTGATGCCGTGAAGGGGAAGAGCAGGTTGGACTGCAGCTTTGTTATTATAGGACAATACAGGGGTCCGATAGAGTATGGTTAAAATGTTAAGATTTAATATTTGCTTTATTACCAAAAAAATTTAAAAAATATTATATTCAGTACATTTTCGACTGTCTAAAAAAAAATTCAATTTAGGGTATAAAACGGTGGGGAGCGTACGCACCCACTCATATTAAAATTACATTTTGTTAACATGTACACTTTACATAATGTATTAAATCAATGAATCAATTTTATCTTCTAAATTTGTACTCCTATACCTTATGAAAGTATAAATGTCTAAAGTTTCCAAAAACTGTTTCTAATCTACGAGATTTATACTTAACACAGATGTCAAAGTGAAAATATGTTGATATGATTTCTCACTAGTTCAATCTTTTTTATTTCAGTGTCTTAGATGAAATCTACTGATCCATTAAGAAGTGCAAGGTCGATGTACAATCATTATCATCGAAACACGATGTGTATTGAATTGTTGGAACACAATATACTATCAACAGCCGGATTTTTGTGGTCTACAAATAATCGCGCCCGGATATTTAGGCCTATCAGGTTTTAGACCACCGGATCATCGGAATTGAATTTAATTTGCAAATTATGTTTCTTGTACAATGAAATATAATTAGGCCTAAAGCTACAACCTTTATGTTTTATTTATTATGTTTATATAGTTCTGATGTAACATACCGAGTATGTAAAAAATAAAAGTAAAGTTGTGTAATTTATAATACATCATTGTGTGTATTTCCTTTGTCGTAATTGCATTTATAATAGGGAGATTTCGCAATCTTACGAAAACGATAACGAATACGAATACGTCATCTTCATTATTGTCATATTCCTTCTTAGAACATTTTTAGCAATACATATACGAGTTGAATATAATCGTTGATTCACTTAAAGTCATGGATTTCCTACTTTGTGACAGATATGCTACTGTATGATATGAAAAAAATATGACGTAACCGTATTCGTTATCATTTTGGTAAGCTTGCGAAACCTCCCTAATAATATTATATATTTCATGATATTATTCAGTATATAATCGAATTATATTATAATCAATTCGAATCGAATATACCATTATTATAGGCTACTATATCTTATAAACACTAACACTCCCAAATATATATATTACACGATACCAACAAATTACGAACATTATCAGAGCAAGGTGCTGTCGAATTTAATAAAACAGGAAATGACGTCGGTTGCTAGGCTACAGCTCATGCATATTCAGTAACACCTGTGCTAATTAGACTAACAATAAAAACTTTTAGCTCAGTTTTGACAAAATCGACCAAAAAGATTTTATTGTTAGTCTAATTAGAACAGGTGTTACTGAATATTCATGATATGCATGAGCTTGTTGCTTAGCAACCACGTCATTTCCTGTTTTATGTATTTTGTTGAGGGAGTGCTCGCGAAAGCATAGATTTCACTGCTAGTTTAATAGTAGAAATTAGCAAATTTTCCGGTTTTATGTTTTTTTGTTGAGGGCGTCCTCGAAAGGACTATATCATAGATTTCACTGCTAGTTTTATATACAAAGTAGCAAATTGATAAAGCAATTCTTACTTTTGGTTTAAGCTTATAAGGATATTTTAGCTACTGACAGTCAACACAGACATTGAATAAGTAAGAGGAAATGCATAATTCCATTTGATATTTATTTTCAAGCATTGAAATCAAGTTGGGATATATGTATACATTTTATATTTATATACTGTATATTACATGTACATCCGGCAAAAGCTATAGACCTGATTTAAATCTTCAAAATGGTATATTTTTATTATCTTACATGTATATATTCTTTACAACAAACGGGTTATTTTCTCTATTATTAAGATTTGTTAGCAGTAATAACACAATATTAATAGACAAAGCCTACATGAATTAATACATATAGATAACATTATTTTTGAGATTTTTCCGAAGGAAAATATTTTAAAAATAAAATTAACACTATATTTTAATTAATTTCATATCAAGAAGTTTTGCAGGAAGCTTGATGGGTGGCAACATATTTGGCTATCTATGAATAATTGGTAAGTTCTGTTGCCCTTTCACGATCGAATCCGGATATTCTTTCCTGATAGTTTTGGCTCCTTTGTCTATCTCACTGGAATAGAAAAAAATATTGAGGAAAGATTAAGAAACAGAGAAAGAATTATAACGGAATATCATCAAAACATAATATATAAGTGAAAATAAATGAGCACCCCAACCTGAACATTATCGTATTCAGTTATCGCAATGTATTGACAATGCTGCTGATATAACAAAATAGTACTTCACACCTGTTATCATATCAGCATTATCATATTAATATTAATTGCTTATAGCGTCATCATACCACGGAATGATGAGGAGTATTAAATACATTGTATTGGGTAGGCCTATTAGATCACAATAGCGTGAACACATTATGTTACCATTCGATTGTCATGGGTAAATAAAAAGTGTATCATTCGATAGAAATGAATAATATAGATTCATAAATACAGAATATTCAAACAATAAACATAATACTATAACTATATCTTCATACAAAACATTTTTCATGATACAATATTTTTTGGCTGATTGATTTAATTTATTCAATGCTGAACATGTGCAAGCAAGATGAAAAATGAATTGTGAACAAGAAAATATATACTGCCTGTCTTGAACAAAACGATTTCATCTTCTACAATTGAATAATTATATGTCAGTAAGTTACAAAATTACAATTAAATATAAATTATACCAGTGCTATATTCTATTCCTGGGATTTTTAATGACACTTTTCATTAAATCTTGGGATTTTTTGACTGATATGGAATTTTTTTCTATAATGAAGACAATTTCAAAATAAACTAATTTTAATGGCCGAACACGTCCCCTTAGTTGACAGTTGTGAATGAGGGCTGTTCATTTGTTCAAAATAAAAGAGCCACTGGAGGCCTAGCATATTTTTTCAATTCTTCTGATAAGGCTGTTGTTTATAGACATTTTCATCTTTTCCCAAAATATTGTGTATTTTAAAGTTAAAACTCTTGTGTCCCATAGGCAGAATGACGTTTTATTCAGACAAGTACGTAGTGCTGAAATAGTTGAGCAAGAATATTGCACTTAGATGCCAGGAAATCGCACCTTCTCATATTTTTCAAATGCTCTTCATTGTGTCTTAGTTCAAGCAGATTCATCAAAAATACTTTACCCTTACCAGCTTACACCCCCCGAAAATGGAAGTATTTTTTATATTAAATTGTGAGTTTTATATGCTGGAAGATTTTATGTGTAATACAAATATAATAACGACAATTGCATTTTTTATTGATATGATTTTTTCAATTGATATAAGACATCTTCCCTCCTCCCCCAACTTCATAACATTCTACTCATTTGAAAAAAAAATGAATCAGACACTGTTTATTTTACAGTACAGTACAGTACGGTACAGTATAAAATTAATTGAAATAGCCTTAAACTTCGACTTAATATGAATTTGTATTATGTATATGTATATATAGTAATATTTTGCAAATTTTTGGATTTTTTAAGCTATCTTGGAAATTTTTTTGACTCAGTCTTGGGAATTTTTTCCCAGTGGTTACGCTGCTTTTAGCGATTCATTTGGTATGTATGAACAGAATGCAGCCATGTCAGTGCATGCTTCTGTCGAGGAAATTGTTAATGCCTTCAAGGCGGCTGCCTAAATAGTCAAAATATAAATATAATATAAATAACCATAGAATGATGACAGAATTCCCAATTAACTATTGAATTAACGACGCAAAATGTTCAATACTGTACTCACGTTATTTTGTTATTAAAAGTCTCCTTCGTAGTCTTAGAACTCCATTGAGTTATGTTTATATGTAAAACGCCACCTGGAGTGGTATCAAAAACAATTCATTAATAGTTTTGTAAAGTGCTATTCCTTTATGATGATGAGGATGGTGAAGATGATGATAATACTGAATACTGGTGATGGATTTTTATGATGTTGATGATGTTAATGACAGGAGCTGATCCAGAGATGTCCGAACATATGTCGGAAGGGGGGGGGGGGGGGGCGAAAGTGGAGCCGATCGAAATAACACTACCCTTGGTGTTCTAGACGCCCGAAAATAACCTCTGGGACACTTTGGGCGATCACTTTTTTTCTTTTCCTTCCTTTCTTTTCTTCCTAAATCTGCTCCTGGATGATTATGATGATGTTGATGATTATGATGATGATGACGATAATAATGGTATAATGGTATTGGTGGGAATGATGATGATGTTAATGGCAGTGATGATGATAATTAAGATTATGTTTATGATTGTAGGATAAGAATCGACTTTTTAAAAGAAAACGACTCCGATGGAATCGATAGGCCTATTAATGGTCAAGCTGGCCTTAAGTATTGCAATAAAAATTTATCACCATTTTAAAGTGAGGGCATTCATTTTTGTAAAGTATGCACGTGCTATATGCCAGCAGGATCACTTGCAAAATGTTTCCGACGGCTATCATTTATTCATGTCAACTTTATTCAACACAGTTGCAGGCCCGTAGGATGCAGTGAGTATTGGTCGGGTTGAAAGGGATGAAGTATTCCTCCCCGGAGAAAGATGACTTCCACTTGTGGTGCTAGAGTTTCCCCAAAGAGACAACATTCCTTGCCAAAGATAGTCGCAATTTAAAATAAAAATAAATTGCAATTTAATTAAATTCATTACTATAGTGATGAATAGTTAACACAAATAGGGGGAGGGGCAGGCCCCCTGTCGGGGAGATCTGCCCTCCCCCATCGTGGAGAAAAAAAAATAGTAGTTCATATTAGTAGACTCTAAAATCCGATGAAATAAGCCTTTCAAACTCCTAAATTGTCATATATTTTGAGGCCTTTGCTCCTTGGATCACTTTGGAATGATTTTGAGCAACGCCCGACCCACCTTTATTTGCTCCTACACAACTGCAAATTCTAATGCCCTCTTGCTGAGCAGGTGTGTACAGCAGCGGATTGTTGGGCATCAGTGTCCTGTGATTAAAATGCTCATATAAAAGGATTAAATTAAGTAACCAATTTAAATATTGAATTGATATTTTGTTTATGTGTATTAGTTCAGCTTCCTCATCAACCAGAAAGTTCACACAAACAAATGCTACAACTTGTATAATATTCATGATTTATTACAGTAAATAACACATTGTTATACATAATATATACTTTACATAATAAAATCAAAGTAGTTATATCTTAGTCTGATAATATTTCTTTTTTTAAACTGAGTTTTCCGAGCACAACAAACAAAAGATCTAAAAAAGTCTGAGGACTGCTTTTTTTGTACCAAGGACAACTCAAAACATTTATTTCAAAAATCTTTATAAAGGTGGCCCTTCCAGCTAGACGGAAGGTCAAGAGAGAATATATTTTGTTTTATCTTTGAGTCCTCTAATACAACCAGTGGCACATTGGTACAGTATATCTTTAAATTCGTCACAGACCAATATGCCTCTGGGGTTGGGTATCATATTTAGTAGAAAAAATTAAAATAAAAAAAAAAAATTACACTGCAAATAAATATGTGTTTGAAGTGCTTAGAAGTGGTATTGAATAGTCTCTCACTTGAAGTGTCAAAGTGTGAGTGCTCATCCAGTTAAACCCCCACCCTCTCACTATTCTTGCACAAATGCCTTTCATTTAGTTACTAAACAAGTACCTACTACTATGTATGAATCCCAGTCCGCCATTGCATACAACACTGTTAATTAGTGATCAGTATAATTTATTACAGCAATTTAAACCTCCTTTTAGTTATGAGTATCATAATCAATGTTGTTCTCCCTTTTATATTTGTTGACATATAGTTCTGTTCATTCCTCTAAAAGGTGACTGCTACATGCTATTTAAATGAGCATATGAAATATTAAACTGCAACATGATGAAAAATTATACCAATGAGTATTATAATAGCAGTAGCAACATTATACATAAGCATTTATACACCCTGTAATTGGACAGCGACTAAAATCTAAATTGTTTTGTCCCATGCTTATAGTGCCACAACCATACAGACAAGACAGTGTCTTGAAACAAAATTAATTCATTCCAGTTGTATTTGTAATGTCCATCCAAATGGATACTTAAACTGGTTTCAAAAACCTATGCAAAATCGAATCATTAGGCCTCTTAAAAAGATATGTAGATAAAAACCATATTTTATTATAGTCTATTTACACTTTATTGTTACAATATATCCAACAGAGCGAATTAGTCACCAAATATGATGCATCACATTTTCACCAAGTGGGTATTAAAGTTGTTTACCTTGCCAAAGTCTCCCATGCTATACGCATTGAGTGGAGTCGAAAATGGTGTATGTTAAATCGTCTAAAATGTAATGAAGATAGCATAGAAGATACTTTTTATAACAATGTATACATTTTGAATGATTCATAGATTCATGAGTCTAAGGTTGATTTGACTTACATTTCGATTCAGACTAAAAATATGAAGTGTTTTGAGAGACTTCTAGGGAGCCTAGGACAATCACTCGCGAAACTTGCCACATCCAGTGCTGACTAAGACAATCTCTGTACATTTAGAGGTACACATTGAGCTTAAATGCTGTCACCTAGTCATTTTGTTGCAATTGCTGAATTGTAGAATAAGACGTTTTTTTACTACGATGGCCAATGAGTCAGAAGAACGTTGTTTGTATGACTCTTTAGTCTAGGCCTGTGTTTTCCATCAGTTTATTTCACTTCATTTCAAATCTAACGGGTCAAAATTCTGACGTTTATTAAATATTTACCAAGGTTTTTGATAGTTATTTTACGATAAAATTTACGAATAAATACGTTTGAGGAGTCTTAAAACTGTCAAAATTTATTCGAGAGGAGGCTTATTATTGTGTGAAAATACTACCAATTAGTGGTTTGTTTTGATGTCATACCCACTGTAACCACTTTGTGTTGGTGACTAATTCAGTCTACTGCTAGACAGGCCAAACCTCTCCAGGCCAAATCCTAGAGAGGCTAGGCATACAGTATCCTTATTCAGCTTGCCACTCAATGTTGTTTTCAATTGTATTTTGCTATATTGCCATTTTATATTATTTTAAAACTAAATATTGTGTTATTTTTGGCATTTGGTCTTGTTCACTTTTAGTGATAATATTCTTGAATAATTTTTAATACTTTGGTTATTTAGCAAGTTTATGGTTATACAGTAGTCACTGTGTCAGATACAGTTTATTTTAATTTCTTCAGTCAAATCAGATAAATACTTTGAATCAATTGCACATAATCATATAAAGTAGCTTAAAGTTGTCTCCCATGAACTGATCATCGTAATTATTCTCAAGCTGTATTCATTCTTCTATTCTTGGTAGAAAATTAAACGTCGTGAGTATTGTATTTTTAATTGGCTGTCATTCATGGATCATTACAATTGCAGTTCAGGAGAAGCACTTTAAGCATACTCCATTCACAACTCTCATACTCAAAACATTACTGTACTTCATACTCAATCAAAAATAATAGGCACAAATAATTTTAATGGTCACATGATTAATGTTGCCATGGTTTTGCAGTAAGCTCCATCTTAGACTCTGTAGGAGAATTGTTTGTTGGTTCTATGACCAGTTTCTCTACTCCAGGAATTTCTTTACCATCTTGTACTAATTGTAGTATTTGCATGAATGACGGTCGATACTCACTAGTACCAACTTCATCCTTTGACTCTCCTGTTGCTATGGCAACATCCTGTTTGGGGTCAACTGTGAAATTTGTATTTAAACTGCTTTCACGTGCCACTGATGTCTCTGAAGAAGTGTTCCTGGTGATGCCTGAGGCAACAGAAGAAAGTTCAATTCCAACATCTGTATTTGCTCCCCCTGCTGTAACAAGTGCAGAGGAAGATAGCTGCTGTTGTTCTGCATCTCCCATTTTCTTGACTTTTTCTTCATCAGTGAGTATCATTGTTTCTGGTTCTAATTCAGGGATCATCTCTGTATTAATATTTATGTCATTTTCAGAATCTATCTCATCACTTTCAGTAGCTTCATCCTTTTCATCTTCATTCTCTTCAGATTCTTGTGTGTCACTTTCAGTTATTGCTACCTCTTCTACATGTTCGTCATCCTCCTTATCGGTGTCCTTTATTATGTCCTCATTTTCTTCATCTGTCTCCTCATTTTGAGGAATAGTATCATAAGTTTCAATGCACTTTTCTTTTAGCCATGTCTCATATCCTTGCAGTCCAATCTCATGAAAAAATCTACGGGAAAGAATAAACAAAAAAAGCTATATAACTCATATTACAACACCACCCGATTCTACCTAATAAGGTCTGATAAGTATCAGTTTCGGTGACATCACCATTCATGATGCCGTCACCAAACCTGATTAGAGGATTCTGATCAGATGATTGATGACTGGTGCTGTCACCAGTATAGAAGTGTATCAGCATTTCATTTGTCACCAAAACTGATCACTTAGGTAGAATCAGCTGACACCACAGTGAATCTTAACTGCTATATTTTACAAGAGGACCTCTACCATGAATCCCTCAACAAGGAGGCCCTCTAACATGAATCCCCTAACAATCTAATCTAATCTTCTCTTATCTGGTCATTTATAAAACACCTTTCTTTACAGATACGAAGCGCTGTAAGTTTTTCCCTGGTCATTGGGTCCACAAGTGTTACTGCCATCTTGGTGCAAGAGCAAGCAACCCAACCAAGTACCCATTTATACTCCTGGGTGGAGAGAAGCAATTAGATAAAGTTCCTTGCTCAAGGACACAAGCGAAATGGACAGCGGGGGATTGTAACCCCGACCTCGAGGTGGGAAAACCAAACCGTTTCTGCTGCGCCAAACCGCTTCCACACAACACAATAATGATGCCTCTACCATGAATCCCTCAACAAGGATGCCCACTAACATGAAAACCTCCATATGGTCGCCTTCTCCCATGAATCCCTCAACAAGGATTGCTGCTTGGGACATCCCATGAAAAGTGATTAGGTTCACTGTTGGAGTCCCCCGGGCCAGTATTTGTGACATTTTAGTTTGTTTTGTATTTGCTTTTTGCTTGTACTGTATGTTGTTTCTTCTGGATTGAAAAAGGATGCCTCTACATTGAATCCTCTAGAAAAATTCCCCTACCACAACTAACTGTATTTAATGTAGGCAAAATAAATGAAAAACATTATCAAAATTTGTGTAATCTTTCAAAACTTAAAATCATCCCTGAAAATGTATTATAAACATTATTTGATCACCTTGAGAAGTAGAACAGCTTAGCTTGTAGCAAGAGGTCTTGACTTTGCTGTTGTCCAGCTTCTTGTTTCCCAGCCAGCCGTGACAAGATCTGTTGTACTCCACTCTGGAATCTCTGATCTCCATCAAAATCATAGCAATAAAATTGCTCATAAATTCCATCTGCTACTAAAGTCTTCAATCTTTCTATGATGTTCTCAAAGTTGTGTGGTTTAGGGATGTTCATTAGCCATTGGCTGTTTGTGTTCTGTGTGTGATCTGAATATAAAGAAAGTACAATTTAAAAGAGCCTTTTAGGTATACTGTATGTATTCAGCAGATTTGGAAGACCTACAGTATTTCAGAGAATGCAGTGCGTTGGTCATTTTTGAGAGACGACCAGCACTACATGAGGCTTGCCATCCCAAAATTAGCATACTGTCACTAAATGTTAAACTGAGTAATTAGCATAAGAAAGTGGCAGTATTGTATACTTAATGCAGAGAAGCTGTAATACTTTTACTCTTTGGCAATAAAAAGTCAATTCTAGTAAATGATCTATCATTTTAAAGCTTATGATGTGAAATATATAAATATATTAAAAAGTAAATTTTCTTGTTTTGGCCATAGATGCTGGTTTTGGCATGGCAAGCCCTCTATGTGTGCCAATATTAAAGTACTAAAATCTGATGGTTTTCAGTACATAATTGCATAGAAATCTAAATATTGCACTACAGGTCATTTTATTAGTTTGTTTACATTGACATGACTAAGTTCAACAACAGCAATGAAAAGAGTTTTGAATAAATAGATTCAGATATAAACCAGCAGTAGTAATTTCTGCTGGTACTATCCATCTTGTTGATTTAAAGGTTTTCTGATTCAATCGTTGATTTAAAGGTTTTCTGATTCAATCAAAATATTCAAGATAAAAACATATGTTTTCTAGTTACTAGTATTCAGCTGACTCATTATCACATTAGATATTGGCAAAAAAAAATATATTTTGTAGATTCAAAATATAAAAGATTCCAGATTATCTTACTGAAGTGTGTTTATGCACCAAAATATGTAACTATTTTTTCTCTAATGCTTGCTTATAGGATTATATATATTTTGCATATCCTACAATACTCCACATTAATGTTGCTGTTTTTTTTATATTGGAGTGAATAGCGGTGGTTAAGGTGCTTGCCTTCCAATCCTAGTGTCGTGGGTTCAACCCTGTCACAGTAACAGGATTTTTTCTAAAGACCAAAACAATTCCCTTCAGAAGGCCTCATAATGAGATTTGGTCTATAGTAAAGCACCTTGTGTACATGTTTGCCTTGTGAAGGTATCGCCAGTTAGAAAAGTGATTAAGTTTGTTATTTGGCATATCCTTGACCTTTGTGCTTAAAATTGAACAAACTTTTATTAATATTATTTATATTAATTTATAGTCATGTTTCTTCAAATGATATTCTACATTGTATAAAGGAAGGTAGGAAGAATATTAAATTAGGAAGAATTACAGTAAACTAAAAAACATATAATAACATAATTTTATGAATTATTTGTTTATAGTAAGGTATTCCCATTGACCATATATAATCTGTTCTGTTTGGTTAAATCAGCAACTTGATTACACTTACAGTACTGTATTTATTTACTGTGTAAATTACTTTAATTTGAATCACAACACATCCGGTAGATTAAAAACTCATTTATTAGAACAAGTAGGTTTAGAGATTCAATCATACCATGTGCAATCCAGCTCAAAAATAAAGCATTTTTCATGAGGACTAAACCATCTATATATACAAACGTTTTATCCAAAGCGTTGACAAAGACACAGGAGTAGCCGAAATATTCGTCCAATAAATTATAGTGTTTTTAAAGTCAACATCTTACGTTTTTGAGTTTCATTACTGTTACGCTATATTATATTGTATGTTTCCAAAAACACGTAGACATGGCTTCTTCATATTTATATCATTTTGTGCCACTTTATATTTTAATTTGTCTTGATGGTCTTTTTCAATGTTTTATACTAGTAACAAGGAAGTCAATTTGCATTTGGAAAATGCAAGTTACCTCTCACCTTTAAATGCCATGTTCAGCATCTCCCCTAAAGGCTCCAATAACCGACTCCACACCATAACTACTTCTATATCCTGATTTAATGCTCCAGTCTTAGAGTCACAAACATTAATAAATTTAAGGCAGAAATCAACATATGCTCTGAACATTGTTCGATGTTGAGTTAATGCAGGAATTCGTTGGAAGTAACGTTCATGATCTTTTGCAGTTATTATCGTCAAAGCAACCTGAAGACTGTCTCGCAGCTGCCGGGCACCCTTTGATGCTGCCATCACAGAGAATGCGAGTAGCCCTGTTGTTGAAAGTTCAGGCTAGAAAAAAAAAGTTCAAATTTTACAAATAATAACATAGTCTTTACCACTAAATCTTGGTGCAACATGTAGCATGACGTTCTCTACCTTGAAGTTAGCATTTCTTTAATATGATCTAGCTCAGCTAAATTGCAATTTGTCTATTTCAGTGTCTCCTTTTATCCCTCCACCCCGAAACCTTAACCCCCCCCCCAAAAAAACAAAAAAAAAAAAAACTTAAGTAAATTGAAATTTCTGTTGACTGAAAATTATTTGTAATAACTATGGCCAAATGAGGGTGGCATGAAATGGAGAGATAATTCCCAAGCAATGCAATTATGAAAAAAATTTTACCTATTTTTTTGTTGTTGAAAAAACACTCTCCTTTGTTTGTTTATTTTATTTATTTATTCATTTTTATGCTTTTCATCATGATTCATGGTCTGACACTGTCAGACGATTTTATTGTGGAAAGCGCTCTACAAATATCCTACCATTACCATTACAACCATTAGTAGATGATCCCTAAATCAGTATACACTGACCTGAAGAACATTGTGCAAGACATATAAAATGGAACAATTCAAATTGACTAATAATTACTAACTATAGTATAACATGCAATTAGATCACAAAATCATAAGATTCTAGAATAAACAAGGCAACTGACAAAATCCTGTGATATTCACACACATTGAAAAACAAATATTTCTTGAATGTGATTTTAAAATAATTGAACACAGTCCCTGATGATGATTCAAGATTTTTAGCCCTTATAAAATTTAATGAATCTTTAGACTATTGTTCTGAAAAATACTTTTGTCTGATTTTGTCTGATATTCCTTGTCTCATTCAAATTAGATAATATTAGACAAAGTCAAAGGATTGAAAAACTGAATAAAAGTTTGCCATACAAATAATTATTCCATAATGTTCTTGTTTGATTTACGACTTTCGATATATTCAACATATACAATGTGTTATGCTAATGTCAAGTACTTGGTAAATTATTATTGAAAATTTAAACAAGAAAATATGTCTCTCACCAACTAACATGTATGTGTATCAAGCATTTCCCTTCTTGTTTGAAATTAAGGATTGTATTAAAAGATTACGCAAATCTAAAAAAATGAATTATTTTGTCATCTGTCTCATGTTGAATGCTGACAACTTAATTGATAATGAGAACATTGAACATTTTTTAGATATTACTTCAGTCAGACATTTTCACAAAACTTTCATAGAAATTACAAATTATCAAGTTGAGCATTTTCTCCACACTTTAAGAAAATATCAATTTGACAGCTTTGTATGTATTGAGTCACCACGAGAAAGACATTAGCCAGAATGTAATTTTAATAATCTAAATCTGCAAACCGATTTGTTAGTCTTGATTGAATAAGCCAATTTGTAGTTTGAACTGCATATGCCCGTATCCAAAGTCAATCAACATAAACATATGTTTTGTGGCTTGTTGTAGTATCAGTTACTGCTTGGATTAAAACATTGCATTTTGGGTTTGATTTGTGATATATCCATATCAAGAATAGACCAGCAACTTCTATAAGTCCAATAAATTCTCAAAAGCTATATAAATATTCATTAAAAACTGGTAAATTTGACTTGGAGTCCAATGTACCAAATACTCTCAATACTGTATAGTATTGAGAGTATAGAAGGATCAAAACATAAATATCAGGGTTATGGCTAGGCATTTTACACCAAAGTACAAACATTATTTAATTGCACTAGCAAACTTTGATGCAAATGTTACTCACTTTTTCAAAATTAGTAGAAGAAAACCATTTGTTTCTCAAATATTGGTGGGCAGGCTGCCCCGTGTTTTGACTGAATATGAATTTTAGTTCGCCAGTGTCAAACGCTGTTTGAGAGCCAAGTGCAGCTAGGCTCCACACGAACTCCAGCTTCTCAGGAACACTACCTTTCACTGCGGCTGCAGCCATATTGATCTACTGTGGAAGAGGAGATAGTAAAAAGTTATCTTTCTTGAGATAAATATAAAATATGTTGTCTAATATAATGCAACAAAATTTATTATATATTCTTTTTAATGCATAAAATACAGAACTTTACTTTGCATTTTGAGCAGAGAAGACAAAAAGATCATCTTGAAAGGTTTTTAATGACAAATTATTTTAAAAATGACATAAAAATTGACATGAAAACAGTCTATGATATTCTTGAACAACAGTCTCACATTTTAATCATGTGCAATTTACATTAATCACCATAAAAACAATACGATGTTATAAAGAGCTGTTGTTCATGACACTAGTTTCGTCAAAAGATAATTGGATGTTGAAAGGGATCAATACTGGTACATCTTTAAAAAAATATCCAGGTACAGGTATTTCTTTTTGATATCAACAATCTGTTTTGTTTTTAATTTATTATTGAGCATTGCATTGTGCTCCATCGAGCATCTGTGTAATTACATTTTATTATATAGTTCTAGGCCAACACCATGCATGTCTTAGATTCTGCACACATATGACGACAATAAAATGATAATGATAACAAATGATAATGATACCGATAATTATAATGATAATAATAATAATAATAATAATAATAATAATAATAATAATATATAATGATCAATCAAGTGTGGAACCATTTTGGTAAGTGATTAAAAGGGCTAAAACTATACCACAATAGGTAAGGGATGTACCTCAAAACCTTTCCTCTCGTACCATAGATTCCACTCCCTCCCTCAGACGTCACTGTCTCAGTCAGTCTCACCCACTAGGCCTACCAAAACAGTCCTGGATCCCCAACCAGCAAACTTATTCTGTATTCAAAACAACTCACACGGTTTCCTAGCATAGGCGTAGGCCTACTGTACTGCTTGCTAACAGATGCTGGCCTAGCCTACTATGACTGCCAAACTACTACTAGGCCTAGGCCCACTCTACTACTAACTAGTACTGCTACTTCTTCTTTCTAGCCTAGAGGGTAGGCCTAGCTTGGCTTTCCGCCAGAGAAATGGGCTAGTTCAGGGAAGGCAGTACCTAACCACCACCGCACCAGCCACATGCTTCATGGATGGCTTAATTGACTCTAATGTTAATATTTATGGTGCATCCATGACCTAACCTAGATATAGGTAGACACAGGGGAAAAACTCACTTACTCATACCCCGAAAGCAAAGTAAACAATACCACCTTCTCTTGTTAACTGTAAACAAACCAAAATAACTAAATGATCATCACACTGCACTGCATGCAAGTATGCACGCGCTGGCAGCTAGCTCAGATTTCTCCATGCTCAGACTGTGTTGAAATACCCATCCATAGTAGGGGGTGTAAGATGTGAAATATCAGCAGAGTTTACAGTCACATTATTTAATCCTATGTTCAGATTAGTGGTTATTATTTTTATAAAATGTGTTCTTTTTATTCAGAAACAGCAGCTTTAGCTGAATAAAATATTTTAAAAAGTTGTAAAAGCCATGTTACATATCAAAATATGAACTCCCCTTTCAATAAAATGAAACAGTCTGCCCAGGTGCCCACATAAAAGGACCAACCACACACTCGTTTTGCACATTTATAATTGGACACCTAAAAACTTCTTTAAAGTTTAGGTACTACTACAGGGAGGAATATTTATTTTGTAAGCGAACTATTATGTTTACGGACAACGTCAAATATAAGAACGTAGCCTATAATGAGGCCAATGTACTAAGTTGATGCTTTAAATTAATATTGTATTGTTCAATTATTTAATCAATGTCTGCTTGATGTCAGATAATTCGAAATATTAAATGAACACAAAATTTACTTCCAAAAAGGTGCGTTCCAATCCATGTAAAATCTTCATAATCTGTATTAGTTTAATATTCTATTGTTTTCTTCCTTATAGTATATTAATCCCAGGCCTATATACCTGCCATAAATGTTGCAAAATCCAATAGGCATATTATTATATTAAATGCTTACTTGTAAGCCATCTCGGGAAGACATCCTATTCATTCTCCGCTATCAACTGGTTGCCAATATAATGTAACCACAGATGATGTGAATAGGTCTCAACAATTTAAATAATGCATCCTCACATCTGTGCAAACTCACAAATTAATTTTTGTCAGTACTGTATTATTTTCCATTGTGGCAGTCCATGATTCCACATTAAAATTACCATGTGATTCTATCAAGTCTCATTATTGTAAGTAAAAAATTACTAATCGTCATCTTAAATTTAAAACTGAAACCTCAACTCTAATAAGGGTTAGTTCTTTCCATTGTTTAAAAACTGCAAATATTGGAAATTAAATTGTATGGGCTATTCATGCTGGCTCGTTGGCCTACCTCAATATTCATCCTCTAATGGATAGAATTATAGTCCTCCATTATTTTAAGTTGGATTCATCTTTTCGAAAAAAAATATTTTTCAAACAATTAATTTAAATATTTTCTTGTAACCAAAAATCAATTTAAAAATAAAATATGTGATATAGGGATTAAATTCAAATCACACATTGGTCACATGTCATATGCATATGTAATATATATATTGAAATTAACTAGAATATTCAAATTAAGAGTAAAAATATAGGGCCTGATACTTTGGCAACTGCTGGTCACAGAGTTGCTTTCTTATTAAAATAACTTGGAACCTTCAATTGTCAGCCTTAAGCAGATTTTCTATAGACCAATATTTTTGTCTTCTGCAAACACAAAATGTTTTTATAGGTTAGGTATGGTACAAAATAACGTTCGCAAAACGTTGCAGGAACGTTCAAACTTTATTTAGTTGTGAAATGATGTATCTATGGTTCTCAAAATAACATTTTCAACACCAAACTGTAACGTTATAACGTAATAATGTTAGCTGAGGCTAAGCAATCTACAAGAAAACAAAAACGACAACACACACTTTTCTTGCGTGCATTTATTGCAGTATCATTCCTGACATTCTTCTCATGTTCATTTCATTATTTATCTTTCCATTTATGCATCTTCATTCTTATACCTTCTTTCATTTGTGCTTTATCTTTCAATATGATAATCATAACTTATCAACATTCTTTCTATTTAGTAGCTACTTAATTCTACATATTTTTTTTATAATCTTCTATAATATTTCAAATTCCTTTCTATATAGATTTGAGCAAAACATAAGAAGAGGGCTTTTCAGTTCGTTAAAACACATTGTAAGCATTTAAAAAAGTAGAGTATCAAAATCTGTATAGGTCTTTCCATCTGTACAAAACAATTAAATGTTGAACATAAAAGAAGTACAGAGAGTGAGCATGACCAACTTCACCAAACTTTTCCAACAATCAGATGATGTTTCTTTTTATAAACTATGTGAAGAAACCTGATTGGAATCAATGCACATAAGTTACATCCACACAAACTAGCAGTACAAACACTGTGCACACAACCAACCATATATTTAGGAATTAACTGTGTGTGTAATAAATATACAACATATATATTTCATTTCACCTATACATTTCAGTACCTTAAATAAAAACACACTTAAGCTGCCTACCCCATGTTGGCATAAATTCTTGCCACTGGTGAAACGTCATGCTAGTATGGTCAAGCAATTGCTTTTGAGGTCAACTTTTTTAATTCTTGGATATCAAATACAAACTAAAAAAATTAATTCAATATTTATTTTACTTTAATTAATAATGACATTGTTATTGCAATGAAATCATAGGTGAAGAGATGTTTATAGTGAAGTATATACCATATCTGTACATATTAAAATTTGACATCCACCATAGCTACTACAGACTTTATGACACTCCAAACACATTGAGTACAATATGACCATTTACACACTACCGTCATCAAACCAAACTCAAATATTGGAAAAACAATTAGCTGTACAATTCCACTTGTTCCAAAAATAAACTTTTGTCTCTGATTTCTGTATACTAATTTTTTTTATTATTAACGGTTGATAAAAATTTGTACAGGAGTTTTATGCAAACTGAAGAGCCCTCTCTGGAGTAAAATGCTCAAAATTCCCTGATAAGTTTAACATGAAGCAGGGTAGCTAATTGAATCAAGCTTTCAGTGGGCAAGCATTAAGTAACAAAGCCGCGATAACCAGGCTAATTTTTAACGATCTACTTACTACCATGCTTCCCTTTAAATCTTGACCGGAGATCAAGTTTTAAACTTAAATTTACAATGTAAAATATAATTGAAACATGATTCTTCACAAAGATAAATCTTTAGATCATGAAAAAATTAATGGGATGTTAGTAAAAAGATCTATAGCTGACCTTTGAGAATCTAACATATGACATTATCTATTTCTTAACTATGATTTTCCCCTTAAATATCATTAATATGCCTGGTATATTTCTACATTTTGTCTTAATGACAACTATATTCTTATAATCTACTAGTGCTAGCTTTTATATGTTCGTAAATATGTACAAATGGGGAGTAGCATGCTCAAAGGAAATTAAATAATTCAATGGTTTTTTTTTTACATGTTGGCAAGAACTACCACAAGGAAACTAAAGCTTAAAGATAATTGTCTGATAAAACAATTCAAATAAATATTGAATTGAAAGAATTTTAAGTTACTAATTGCCAAGTCCATAAATTCACAGATAGCTAATTTTAGGCTATGTAAATATAAGAGTAGTACTATTAATTGGCAAGGAAATATTTTCTTGATCTAATCTTTGAAATTTAACAACTTACTTAATATACAAAGTAAGCAAATAGATATTGAATTTCATTGTTCAAGTATTAGCTCATAAGAGAAGATATAAAGTTAAACTTGCCTAAGTCGACTTTGCCTTAACTGGACTATTTTCTAAGTTGATCTTATTTTACATGCCAAATTGTTTTGCTTCCATTAATTTAAGTTGACAAATTTTTCCAATGCCATTTTAGATTCGACTTAGGCAAGTTCAACTGTATCTTTAAAGAAAACAATAGAATGCTAACGTAGTATAGTATATTAGATAAATAAAAAAAACTACTGTAATATTTGAATACAATTATGTATATTCCTATTTTTATATTTTACATTTCTATCAGTATTCGATAAAACATATAAATTTATAAGTTCTTATAGCATTCTTGATGAAAATTAAACAGGTGCTGTAGTTGTGTACACATATTTAACAAGAAAATTCATGTGAATCAAAGTCACTAAATGTCAAACTGAATAAAAGAAATTTCATTTACAATGGTTTCGTTCACATTTAGATTTTTGCAAAACTGATCACAGAATGTCAAAATTTCTTTAAAAAAAATCTTATTGCTTTTGCATTCATGGAAATTGTATAAAACAAACTGTTTAGAAAGCATGGACAATTACCTGTGTACAGGAAAAAAATGCAAGTTACAAATAGGTAGACCTAACCCTTGTGATAGTTCAACCATTTCATTTCCTCTAGAGCACAATCTAGGACTTGTAAAGCTATGTACAAATTCTCAGGTTAGTTGGCTAAACTAACCTTTGAAATTAAATTCAATCCCAGATTCTGCATCATTAGCTATGACACATATTATGTAATGTCTTTTAAAGCAAATAAATTCTGTATGTAATAATAAGTTAAAATGCATTATAGTAAATTAAATAATTGAATACATCCTTGGAATACTTTTTAAAATTGGTATTTTTGTTTTTTCATGGAAATTTTAATTTGCCCAAAACATTTTGTAATATTTTATAATATATTCAACTCACAAACTGGAATGATAGGTTTGAAGGAAGTAAATACAGAGATGAGTAAGCTGGTAGGTATACAATACAATATGGTTTTGAGTTTATCTGTAAAAACCGAAAGGTCCACTGATTAATCTCAGATAAGAAAGTATAATACATACTCCAAGTATTGAAATATGATGGCGTGTATTTCAATACTTGGAGTATGTATTATACTTTCTTATATGAGTTTATCTGTTTTATGCAAGAATAGATTGAAGAATTACGACAAGCACTTGTGGTACAATTAGGCTTGAATAATTAGCCCTGATTAGGCTGAGAAATTAACATTTCCCAGCTATAATCCTGTGTATACATACTCTAAAATAATATATATATTTATATATATACATATATAAATGTACATATATACATATATATATATATATACACACATATATACATACACATATATATATAAAACAGATATATATAATATATATATATATATATCATATATATATATATTATATTATATATATGAATATTTCAACATAAGTAATATATGATGTTATCAAATGAATGTGTTTGGTGTTTGATAGTATACTACCAGCACTCTGTGATCTAAATTCTAATGCTAAGCTATTTCTAGATTTCTAGTTAGTACATGGAACAAGTTATTGCACTTTCCTTTCTCACTCAATCTCACTCGTGTCACCTGGGTTATGGTATTTTGAAGTAGAGAATAAATAAATCATATTGCAGCATAGCCCAGCCTATTAACAACAGAGTTGTTCTAAATGATAGGAATAAATTAATGAATAAATTAAGCTTAAATAACTTTGAACTCAATCTATTGAATGACCAAAGTTCAAAATCTAACAACTTTTATCCTGGGGGAATGGCAGTTATTAATATGAATACGATTAATTTCTTTGCCGTACATATATCCATAAAAAAATAACTCAAGTGAGCCCCAAAAATCCAGAAAAAATTTCTCCTTTAGAAAGCTTATCTTAAAATACTGATAAGTAATTAAATATTCTGTTAACATTTTCCTATGTTAAGCATTAAGTAACATTTCAAGTTATTTCATCTTTGCATACATAAAAGTAAAGAGAACAGTGTATTATGTTCTGTAAAATACTTATTGAAGATTGATTCCCACAGATTTCTTTTTTTCATATCTTGAAAACTTATAAACTTCTATTATTTAAATTTCTAAAATAAAATGTAGCTGTTTATATATAATAATAAAGATAAAATCAGTTTTCATCAGATGTTTTCATAACCACTGATAGCAGTTGACAGCATGCATTCGAATGCTGTGTTAATTCTCCCCTGTATTTTTTTTGTTTTTGTTTTTATGGACACTACACCTCTGTCAAATTCATCTCTCAATCTGCAAGAAAAAAAATACAGATTATTAATTTTAATTTGTATCAAATTAGATTTTTGGGAAAACAGTAATATTAAAGATCCAAAAAGAATGGTAAATACATCGAAATACAAGACATGTTTTAGCCCATTGTTATTTTGTAAATAGGAACAGTTTAGCACTGAAAAATACAGGAATTTGAAAATGGGGTAAGGGTGCAGTTTTAGAAATTCATATTTTAGCAAGAAAATTTGAAAATGGGAAGATGGTCCAGATAACTGGCTCCCTACTGGGTAGATTGGGTCTTGTGAATTTACTTAATAAAATCAATGAAGAAGTGTTAGTATTATTATGTTTTAATAAGTATAATACTGATGCTGGGTTTTCAGGGTTGTGAATTACTGATAAATATTAAGTACTGGTTGTTTTTTCATGTATACCACAAATTTTGTGGTATATAATATTAAATATACATAATATTACATAATATTAATATTACATATTAAATGTACATAATATTAAATATATATTTCATATTCAAATCATGAAATTATCATTATATCTATTGAATCTCAAAAGTAATACATTAATTACTTAAAAGATGATTATATTAATATCCCAGCAGGGGTGTCATGTTTTCGGATTTTTACCAATTATGACAGCTGATTAAATGTATTTTGAGTTCTTTGATGTGTCTCCTCTCCACCCCCCCTCCCCCAACCAGGCACACATGGTCACCAGTCAACGTTAAGCAATCAATGATAATCACCTGTGAAAGCTTTTTGTGTACATTGAATGAATGGGTTGTGACATGCTTGAAACAAAGTTCTACCCAATGTGATGTGCCCGAACATGGGTACAACGATGTCATATTACACTATGAGCATATCACCAGTTATTTGTCTACACTATCAAATTGTATGACAAAGCTTTTTTTTTTTTGATAAATTATCTATTAAATTTTGATCATATTATAATTTTCACATATTATGGATGCATTTTCGGGTAAGAACGAAACACCCTCATCTATTAATTTTTATTGGCCTTGGTACCTTTATTATTTATAAATTTAAAAAGAAATACTTCCAAATTCAAAGATAATTTATTTGAGAAGTAGAGGCAGAGAAAGGCAAAATAGAATTTTGGTGATGTATTTTGAAAATATTGCTGAGAATTATACTTTTTAGCCCACGATCACAAGAAATCATTTCTACAGACTGATTTAATATGATTGAGATATCATGAAGATATTTTGTCATTTATCTGCAAAATTATGATAAACATAGATCATATGTATTTGGTTGTATTCTGTGATTTAAAAGAGGAATATATTATTGTTTATGGGTAAGTTAATATTTTTCAAGGTCTAATTGTGGGCAATCTACCATAGGAAGCTTAAATTGTCAGAATTTTTCATCTAATGGCCATGCTTGCAATATAATACTAATATTTGTTGGCATGAATAATTTTTCCAATCCAATAAATCAGAATTAACCCATTTCATATATTACTAGCAAAACCCCTGTGGGTTTATATACATGTATATTTTCATTTCCCCCTGAAAAATTAAAATCAAAAATTTATTTTGAAATTAATTTGCTCATTTTGAAGTAGCATAAAATGAAAAGAAATTAGTGTATTTAACATTTTTGACTATTCACTGAAGTGTTTATGTGATGGATATTTTTATCGTAAGAAATAAGAGATATGCCTTCTTTAACTATACTTATTTCTATGCTCCAGCTAATAGTTTTATGTAATTTTAAAATGAGCAAATTGATTTCAAAATTATATTAATGACTTAATTTTCAAAGGAAAATTACTTTTTATGATTATTTTTAGTCATTTTTAATGGTACAATACATCTTTAATCTATTCATTTTATAATAAATGTAACATTTGTATACATCTTAATTTTATAACTTTTTATCTTAGTTTCTCAGAGGAAGTTTTTGTAGAAAGAAATCTTCACAATTAATATTGATATGTTGGCCGCTCATAGGATATTACAGTCTTAGATGCCAGCACCGCTCAAGCACTTGTGAATTCTGCGGCAGCCATCCTTTCCATCTCAAATTCGTGGTGAACAATGCGGCGGACCTGCTTTTAGGTTTTATATTCTGAGGGTTATGGTTAGATAAGGATATTTCACTTTACATTTACTTCCCTTGTGGAAATCATTTTCAACTTTCGGACCTAAAGTCTTGTCTACCAATCTGAATTGTATTCTAGTTCGTTGCCATTTATTCCAATTCTTGGAATGGCTAATTACTATTATTATTATTTATCAGTTACAGAAGAATTGCCTATTTGATTTTATTGAAATATAATCAGCATATTTTGGATTTACTATTTTGCAAGTATCTAATATTTATTTATGTATATTCATATTATTGATATTACCAGAAAGAGGGGGAGGGGGTGAGGGCAACAGAGAAGAGAAAGAGAAAGGATAAAGAGATAAACCTGTTGGAATAAAAATTATAATACAACAAAAAACATTAAATGAGATGATTTTTGTCAACATATCACCAGCCTAATCAACATCACCAAATCCCAACCAACATGGAGCTGACAGACAACTCCAAATTTCATGCATGATACTGAGTTTTCAAATTTGACTAGAAAAGTACGTCACTAGTTTCAACAACTTCTATTGAACACTCTCTAAGTGGAAAACTGGAATACAACATAGAACCTCCTACCACTGTAAATACATAGGCAGATGCACAAAATTTCCCACAACACAGAATATTTATATACACTGTTGAATCAAATATGCGCCTATATGTATACACACGTATATATTTTCTTTCACATAAAAATGCATATATAATAATGTATTTAAAGAACGTTTTCAATATTTCCTGAATACAAAATAGTCAGTATACAGAGTAAAAGTGAAAAATAAATATTCAAAGTAGATATTTTTTTTTAATGTATTTATAGACATATAATCGTAATTGATGATTAACAGCTCCAAAAATGTATAAAAACCCATAAAAAAATCCAGCCAGATATACATGTTTACCAATGCAATAACTAATGAAACAAGAACACTCAACATCTCCTGCAACAGTTACAACACGGAATTGGTTTTAATACAGAACAGCCAAGCTATAGCAGTAACACACAATGTGTACATTAACACCAAAATGCCCAAATACCCCAACAACTTACAAGAGAAACCAGGTAGCAATTGTTTCTAAGTTTTAAAGTCTTCCAATCATGAGCTACAGTATACTGCTTACTAAAGTAGTCTCAGGGTCTGTCAATAAGATGGCCTACGTTTCAAAGTGTGTTTGCAAAAAACAAAGAAAAACATTTAGAATCTGTCTAGGAGAGTATAGCCATTCCTTTATAGTAGTTAAAGACATCACATGAGAAAAATAAAGAAAAAACAAGAGAGAGACACAAAGGGCAAACACTGATAAAGGGCGATTAATCTACTTTATAAATATTTATACTCTTTAAATACATGTTAAATACAGTACATGTTATTTTTGAGGTATTTCTTAAATTTCTTATGGCAGAAAGCAGCTGGTTGTTAGTTGTTAAATCAATTGAATTCTCAATATGCGTATATGTGGCAATTGTATTAGCATGTAGACTGCCGGCTGTCCTTTAAATCTTAAGAAAATTTGTCAAATGATGTTAAGATTTATTAGCTTAACGTAATTCAATGGTGGAATAATACCTGTTATGTTCTTTAGTAAGGTTTACTGGAATCCTTAGGCCTCTTCAGCTGAACCTTTAGGCGCTTCGAGCCAACTTGAAAGCCGTTCATATTCTGAATAGCAGTCTGGGCACTAGCTGGATTGTCAAAGCTTACAAAACCTACCGAATCAAAAACATGAAAGAAAAAAGAAACATGAATCGTTGGTTCAAATGTCAATAAAAATAATTTTTTTTTAAATAATTGGTTTTTTAAAGATAGGTTTTCTAGGAGTGATTGGCATAGAAGTTTGCGAGTTGGACTATTAACTTTCAGGTTGAGTGTTTCAGTCCCTGCATTGAATTTCGCTTGTGATATATGATAGTTTAAACGTCAATGCCAATTAATTTCCATAAAACAATGTTTTTTTGGCATTTACAGAATATAGTCCTTACGTCTACATTTATCTCATCATTATCATTCCCCAATAATTAAATTACTAAAATCATTCAATTCCAGTTTTACAAAAATTTCCCGTTAATAAATTTCTATGAAAACTATATTGGTTATGGGTTGTCAACTATCAGATACAGAAATACATCTTAATATAAATTAAATAGGACTGTGAATGACAAGAAATAAAGCTTAAAGCCACACTCTGAAGGAAAACAAAATTTTTATATGTTGTACAACTGATTTTTCTAAGACAGAAAAAGCATATTTGACGAACAACTCATGAGCAGTTAATGAGATCAAGATTTTTAAATATTTAAAAACTGGTGGAAATAAAAGGTGGAAAAAAGGATGGTTATTCCCCTTTTTCCCCAGTTTTTAAATATTCAAAAATCTGTATCTCATTATCCGCTCTCAAGTTTTTCATCATATATGTTTTACGTGTCTTTGAAAAATCAGTTGTAAACAAAACAAACATTTTTCCTCTGGTGCCTGGCTTTAAGTGGCCTTTCCACTCAACTATGCATTCATGTATCCCATAACAAGTGAATATATCAAATATAATAACGTCAATTGAGACAATTGAAAATATATTTAAAAAAAACAGATTTGCAAATAATATAAGCACACCTCTTGTTCATTCTAAAGCTTACCGAAGCATTTACTCTGATTTGTAGCCCTGTCTACAAACACTTTGGAGCTGATAATGTTTCCGAAAGGTAGAAACATCTGCATCAGTTCAGCATCTCCTAACTCCTGAGGCAGGTGGTAAATGAAGAGGTTGCAGCCCTCTGGACCAACTGCAAACAAAATACATTGATTGGTCATATCATCATTGATACAGTAACCCGGGAAAAAAACTATTTATAAAATTTGCAAACGTTGTGGGTAGGGTAGATGTCAGAAAGTGGCATTAACACAATTTTGGCAAGATTTCAACGTTATGTTCTAAATATATATCTATGGTTCTACACAAAAAAATACTGTCTAGACCAAACTAACTTTATTGTATGTGATACCAAATGTGCGGTGATACAATGAATATGAATACATGATTATTTTTACCATCATCTGGTAAAGTTATTTTGGGAAATAATAATAGTTCACCTTCTCTCTGCTGTGCAGCGATCACCGGCTGAGGTTGTTGGGATGAAAATGTTTGCGATATCTGTCCATACATACTAGCTGGATAAGCGGCTGAAATATCAAGTACAGTATGTATTACATTGAGCAAAGGTAAGCGCGTATTCAGTTGTGATAATTACCAATTATGAAGCAGTAACTCATCAATATTAATTATTCATTATCAACATACATAAATACATGCAATACATACATTATAAATAGGACATTAAAATGACTGTAAAACAATTAGCTGACCTATAATATTACTGTTCTATCTAAACATCAAGTTATTTTGTTCATTCCAACAATATTTCAAATATTGTAAAAATTATTTGGTAAAAATCCTTAAAAATAGCACAGTATTCAAACATTAATTACTGTACCAAAAAAAAAGTACAGTGTGTAATATTTGAATTCCTTATTTTGTAAATATTATTATTAGTTGTATTAAAGGGAAAACATTTGTTACTAATTAACAAATACATAAGTAATACCAAATTACATGTAATAAGCATAAATTGGTTTTTTTTTCTCAATGAATTCACCCCTAACAGGTTCCGGAAGTCACTTAGGAAAAGAGCTACTTTTTTAAATTAAGGATGGTTAGTGTCTGGTCTATACTTTTTACCACCAGTTCTATAAACCAGAGTGAAAACTGCTTTAACCTATGATAAACGAAAATGGCAAACTGGAGAGGCGCTCAGCCGTAATGACCGCATGGACGGTTGTTGCTCAGTCACGAAGCAATGTCTCTGTGACGTAATGACCTAGTACTCTATAGCATACTACAATATAGAATTGAAATATTTACCTATATGATTGCCGGCAAATTGAGTCATAGCTGCATACGGCTGCAGAGGGTCAGAAGTCGCCGAGGCTTGTGCTGAAGCAAAAAATGCATCTTCAAATAAAATATGGACATCAATATGAAGAGTTTGCATCATCATCTCATCCACATTAATTTGTGAAGTTTTATAGAGTCTCATAAATATAAAATATATTTGCCAACATTTTCCTTCAAATCAATATGCAAGAGTGAACTTATTAACAATAATAACAGTAATACTGATAACAATAGCTGCTACTTATAATTTTGCTTCCATAATATTAACATTTAAAAAATAGCCTACAATATAAATTACTTCTAAATTCAAAACACTGAATATCAAATTAACAACACTAGACACAAAAAGGCAAATATTTGTAAATGTACTTTGTAAGGGAAACATTACACCAAACTCTTGAACTTTTTCATACATGCTCTTAATCAATACGGCGAGAACCAATATGCACTACAGAATACAAATACAATGTCGTAGGACTAGTAAAAAAAATATCAACTTTTGGTCCAAGGATGTTGATATGGGTGAGACCCATGCATGAGCAAGAATAGATGGAATGATGGTAAATACGGCAAAATACAACATAAAATTACAACAAAATGAAGAGAGGACATACAGTAATGGTGGCCACTACAGACATAAGAGGGGGTACTTTACACTATGTGGAGGCAAAATTGAGTCAGTCTGATATTGCTAAAGCAAATAACAAGACATCCAAAGAACACAGAACATTGGAAATGATTAGGAAAACTAAATTTTACATTCAATAAAACCATAACTACGGCTTTGCGATTGTAATGTATTTAGTAATGTTGGACTGCTGATATATATAATTATATTTTGGGAATTTCAAAAAAATGTTAGGATATTACATAGTAGGAGGAGAGACTAAATATTGGAAAAGAATAAGAAAATCAGTGATTGCAAATTATGTCAAACCAGTTAGTAGAATATTTGCTGCCAAATTTATTTCATTAATAAATAAACAGGTTTATGTGCTAACAGCCTTTAGTGCTTATAGTTAAAACATCCTGGAAGTTGAAACACAGTTTCTCTGAACTTGATTTATTACAATTATCAATTTCATGTCTCAACTGTGATTTAGTGATTTCCAAAAGCATTATTGATTTTCAGTATTATGCCAATTTAATTTACAACTGATAAATCATACACAAACAAAATAAGAGCCACACCCTGATATTAATAATTTTCACCACATTCTCATCGAATTAGATTGCATTATCATAATGCCTGTCTCTTATACACATCTAGATGTGTATAAGAGACAGAGCTAGTATAGTGAACAAAAAGCTCATAAATACATCAGTTAATAGCTCTTTAACTTATATATATAACTTATCTTATTGAGTTGTATATATCCATACAGGTAATAATATATAAAATATATTTAAGCCTTTAATACATATAGTTTGAAAGAAATTCAGAAGAATAAAGTAAGGAAAGTAAAAAGATAAATTGTATTCAATAAATGCTATTGCCAAAGAATCGTCATCCAAAGAGAGGGAGAAAAAACAAATGGTCTTGTAATGGAATGAGTTTGGAGGCATTGTGTAGACTACTTGAAAAAAGGGGTGGATTGAAAAAAATTGCAGCTAAACCACAGATTTGGACATATTGATCTCTTTCGTTCAAGAGTTTGGTCTTTTTGTTTCTTATTAATCTTTGCTGCAATGTTGATAAAGCCTAGAATTAATTTGAATTCTCTGCTTGGTATCTGGGTTTGGGAACTAACCAGTGTAATGCTGCAGTCCAGTATATGCTTGTTGTAAGATCTCAGCTGTTGTTGAAGAAGCTTTTATTGGAAAAAGAACAAATAATGATATAATCAAACTGATATTAATTGGTTTAACTATAACCCTGGTGATTGTAATCAACATCAATTAGGAAAAGAAGTAACAAAATCATAGATAAAACTTCAATAATTTTCAGCATTTCTGCATGTAAATCAGTGAACAATTTTATTGTCCAGCCTCTAGTACATGCAACAGAATGGCTTTTTTTTTCAGAGGAAAATCATAATTTCGGGTTTTCTGTAGTACACATTTAAATAGTAAATAACTATTGGTGAATGAGTTAGTGTGGGAATCCAATGTGATAGAAGCAACACCATTGAATTAAAAACACTTTGTTGTATCTACAATTAAGGTTAATGCATGACAAGATACAAGATCCAATCCAATAAACCATCACAACATGTCTGATGACAGCAAAACTAGTCAACTTGGGTCCCTTTTAATGCAAAGGGTCACAGCTGAACATTCCAAACACTCGAGGGACAACATTAAGGAGCTCTCGAGGGCTCAATTAGAAAATCTCAATGGCAATTTGTAAACTCTTACAAATTAGTAGGTCAACTAATAGAAAGCACAGAATACATTGATATTATTATGCAAATTGATTATGTGTTAAGATTATACGTGCATTATAGGACAGTCGTCATAAAGTTTGGTGATGTTCAGAAGCGACCCTTTGGCAGATACCACAGTGCAGATTCATTTTCCAACCATAAGGTGACAAATTTGGTGAAGCTCATGCTACTGGATCCAGTTAAATCAATCAATACAACATCAAAGCATTGGACAAGTTACGAGACAAAAGAAGCATTAGCTTCCAAATTCAAAATGGCAATCATATATCATAACCTACTGGCAGCAAGAAAAGAATTATAGGCATAATGACTATAGTAAGCAGTGCCTCAAGTCCATTAATATGTCATTGAACAGTCAAACTCATTATCCATTGTCATCGGCTTTCATAAGCATCTTTCAAAAATTGTTAAATTGCCTCATTTGACCTTTCAAGTAACATGATTAATGTCTTTGTTGTGCACATGCTACTTTACAAACAAACATTTTAATGTTTGAGAAATTTTATGTTTGTGACAAAAATGCAGGTAGCACCATACCTGGGTATTGCTGCATACCATTGGCATAAATTGGCTCAGTCGCTTGACCATTGGTCTGAGCAGCCATGGTGTAGGTAGGAACAGTTGGGGAGGGCAGGCTTGGTGTACCACCATTGATGGTAGCTTGACCTGTTGCAGCAGCTACTGCTGTTGATTAAAATGACATAATATCTATAAACATAAGTAAATACACCATTCATAAAACATTTTAATTATGTGTCATCACACTCCACAGGTCCGGAGACAGCAAATAATGTGTGCAGCTCAGTAGCATGTGGTTTAGTTGGTTGTAGTAGCTTTGTAGGGATAGCAAACCAATATCAGACAGACTCTCTTTGAAGTTGGAGGAACAGGTAAATAGTGAACTGCAGAGTCTTTCTTTCCACAGCATTGCTTTTAAATCTCATGAAGTATTGGAGCGCGATGGCATAATAGAAGCAATTCAGGCATGTCCAGAATTTAAAGATTTACCGATAACTTGGCAAGAAGATGCCTCTAAGGCAAGAGGTTCAGCATGTGATCCCACTCATGATTGAATCAGTAAAATCTCCATCAAAACTCCAGGTAAGATTTTCCTAGCATAATCATTGATGAATTCAGTTGGCACAACTCCGGGCCCCAACAGTGGTGGCGCCAGCGGGGTGTTGGTTGTTGGTTGCTGGACAGGTCTAGACCCTCGACATCTGAAGCCACAATGAAGTGGCAGGACCAAAAATATTAACTTACCTATCTAAACAACATTATTTGGATTGCCAATCTGTAATATTGTGGTCTAAAACAACAACATTTTGGGGCAGTTTAAGCCATAAAATCTCCCTCATGAACCACTAGAGATTTTTATGAGATCGACACTGACCGAGGCTCTAGTTTTCTGACTGGGACTCCCTGTCAAACTGCCAGTCAGAAAATTTCTGAAGCCACCACTGGGCCCCAAAATCTTAAGTTAAATTCACTTTTAGCCAGTAAAATCCATATGCAAACAAGTTTTGAAATAATGTATCACAATAGAATGCAGTAACTAGACTAACCTGCAGAGGGAGCCACAGCAGTAGCAAAGCCATTTGGAGTTGCTATTGTGTTCATTTGATGTACTTGAGCAGACAGAGCACTCATTGGATTTACAGCAACGTATGGTGTTCCCCCATGTGTTGCTGCCATCAGTTGCTGAGGAAGAATATGCTGTGGAGTAAATAATTATTTTATTCAACATATTCATACACAAACAAAATAAGAGCCACACCCTGATATTAATAATTTTCACCACATTCTCATCGAATTAGATTGCATTATCATAATGCTAAGCACTGATTTACAAATATGCAGGACTGGGAATTCTGCACCAATTTAATTATCTTTAAATAGTACGTCACATTGTTTAATTAAATGTAGCAGCATTATTTTACCGTATACAGGAATCTAAAAGATTGCTGTGTAGGGAGCGACAACTGACAGTTTATGAATGATTTTTACTATACTTATTTAGAAGGTCTAAATAGTTTTAATATCTGACATATGAAAATGCATAATTTATTCACGGTTTGTAACATAAATGACATTTGATTTCTATGTTGTTTCGATGTTGTTTGCTTCAGGACCTTTCATAGGAGTAATGTTTTGTCATATTATCTATTATCTATTATTTTTTGACTCATGAATAAAATATCTTAAAAAATAGACATCACTGGTTATGTTAAATTTTTTTTTTTCATTCATAGGTCTATCTATATTACTTATACCACAAATAGTAAATTATGAATTCAAGTTAAAAATGTTTATATTTTTGTAAATGACATTTTAGTTTTTGTCATTTTAGTATGTTCTATATTGTAGCATAATTTACTATAAACACTACAAATATGAGGCTTGCGATACCAAAACCAGCGTATTGTCACTTTATGTTAAACTGAGTAATTAGTATAATAATGTGGTAGTATTGTATACTTTAATACAGTGAAGTCATAGCACCTTTACTCATAACTTTGGCAATAGTAAGTAAATTCCAGTAAATGACCCATCATTGGAAAATAATAATTAAAAAGTCAATTTTGGTCACCGATGGTGGTTTTGGGCTGGCAAGCCTTATATGATATTGCTAGTTTGATTTGCTTTGCTTTATAATCTAAACTATCTATAATTATTCAATACACAAGTTGGACCCTTTCATTTTTATGAGCTTAAGATTTTACAATGAACAAGTTTTGACATCTTTAAAGCATGCACCTATTAATAGAGCTTCCTATTGATAGGCCTATGCTTCTTATTTTAGTCTTATACGTTTTATATTATGCAAGCAATTTAGATTCTTTGTCACTGATCTAATTCTAGACAAACCTAGCTGCCTTAGGCGAGACTTTTAATACTGATAATTTCAAATATAAATAATATTTTATTTTTGGCCAATTAGCACCCGCTGCCCCGAAAAAGTCGAAATTTCCTAAAAAAATAAAAGTTTTTCTTTATTTTTATTACGCCCTCCGCTGTCTTGAAATCTCCAAAGATAAGGTATGTATATTTCTTCCTAATTATATAAATTTGAAGCATTCACCAATAAAATTTTATTTTTATTTTCTCCTCCATCTGGATGTTTTCGGCAAAACTATTTGCTAAATAAGAAATCAAAATTTTGTTTTTATTTTTATTCCGTCCTCCAACGATCTTTAAAAAAATTAGAATGTGAAACAAAGAATTTAAAGTCTGCCTTATCAATAGAGGCTTTAAATTTAAGCACTTTGCCCAAAAATTCTATTTCTATTTATATTCATAATTACTAACTTGTAAACACTTTCTAAATACTATATGTAATGCAGTCAAAACAGCAAAGCACACATAATAGAGCCTACATAAAAACAATGATTTACGAGAAATCGAAACAAACAATTCTTACTGGATACACTGCTAATGGCGCTTCCTGGCTCATGGTCTGAGTTGTTGGGTAGTGGTATAGTGGCGTCGTAACGATAGGACTTAAAACTCCTAAAGCACCGCCCATTTGCTGCATTCGTCGCATTTGTCGTTCTTTTTCAGTGTCTGCAAATTTGACAACAATAGCAGACGATGCACCCTAAGTACAAAAAAAAAAACAACAAATTAATAATTATTGCCCTTACATAACTATCAGTAAATAGAATACAACTTTATTTTATATTTAATTAGATTAATTTTTTTTCTAAAAAACATTTTTTGAAAACCTAATATTTATATAGTCGCATCTTTCAAGTCTTCATGTATTTTTTGATACAGAACGACATAAAAATTTGTCAAAATTCCAGTTAATAAGTAAAACATACCGGTACAAGTTTGGATTATGGGCCTGTTACTGTACAGTATCTGGGTAATACCCATAATGTGTGTGGCAGTGTAAGGTGTAATTGTTGGACACTTAACAGCATGTTTTTAGTCCAAACAGAAACACTGATAACATGCTTTGCTGTGATAACAAACTGTAAACAGCTCCCTCAGGGCATTTTATATCAACTACTGGTATACAGCCAATTTACAAGCCATCCTTTACTCTTATTAACCTCCATGCTCTGATCATCATGGCAGTAGTACTATCACATAGCTCTGATCACATGGCGACTTGGTTAGAAGGCAAGACTACAAATTTCTGATTGACCAACAGAGTTTAGAAAGAATTATGCAATATAATCCTATATTCTGCCATAATTCTGCCTACTACATTTTATGAAAGTGTTAAAACAGTAGCACAGACACTACCAACAGGGATGGAAGGATTCAGGTGATTTAAACTTATGAGGTCAAAAAAGAGAAGGCCAAGAACAGTCTGCAGTAGAACTAATGACCTGGAATAAAAATCATAACCGCAGAATTGTTTGATCAATAATTACACCAAGACAATGGATGCAAACTTACTGCTAGGTTTAATTATCGATCAAACAGCTATACAATTATAATAAGCAAACTAGATAAAACTTTTTTTTAAATCATTCCTTAATAAATAAATATGATAAATACATTTATGTGTGGGTGTTACATTCAACCACAAAAACAAATTATTTAACCATTTATCTAAACAAACTGAAATACTAAATCCTGAAATATTAGTGGAATGTTTGTGCATTTTTATCATTTTATAGTAGTTCAATATCTTTATTATAGTGACTTCCTATGTATTAATTAAGTTGAAGCATGATTCTATCCCTGCAGTGTTCAGAAGTTAGAAGCAGAGGCCAGACATTTTTTACCGTCAGGAGGGTGGAAAAAAATCAAAATAACATTTTGTTTTTTCATTTATCAAAATGATTTTGCCAAAACCATCTAGGTGGAGGTGAAAATAAAAATAAAATTCTATTAATGGATTAAACAGTGTAGTAATTAGATTGATAAGTGCTTTGAATTTATATAGTTAACAAAGAAATCTTATTTTTGGAGATTTTAGGGGAGTGGAGGTCGTAATAAAAATAAATATAAAATTTTATTTTTTTATGTATAAAAAGTCTCGCTTTAGTAGCAATATAAACTGCAAATTAATGTTTTAAAATTAAGGCAAACAGTATCAGATTTTGGTCTCTTGTGTAAACAAGACATTTATTTTTTAAGATATTACATTTATGCCATTAATTATTTATACTCATGTAATAACATCCTCAGCCTTGTAAGGTATCGGTTGCCATGTTGAGATCATTCTAGTATGATATTAATAATAGACCTAACATAAGCTTATGTTAGTGTTATGGTGATAACTTTCCAAATATAAGAAAAACTGCCATAGTTCGCGAAGTCATCAACCTTCATAGTTTCATTTTCTGAGGTTTTTAAAAGATCTTAAGATCAACCTAAAATACATTTTAATAATAATTGTTTATACTTTTTAAAATAGCAATAAGTATCTTCTAATAGATTTTAATGAAAAGGTTCCGGCAGTGAATACTCAAATAAAAAAAAAAAATTGTATTCATAAAAAGGATATGCTAAATTAAAATATCAATCCGCAGGAGACGCTTTTGTTATGATAAATATCGTATAATTTGCATTTCATTATTATAAACTTGTTAGGGGGTCATTAGTGAGAAACTACACATGGCTACAAAACTCTATCCCATTGTAATCATTACATATGCTCTATTGTTTGAACAATACAGCTGCTATAAAACAGACTTATTACCTCTTATTTTAGGTTTATATTGTGTAAATCCAGACTCTGTACATCAATAATGATTGTGAAATATGTTGATCTTTTAATATCATATGCTTCCTTTGGTATCCATTTACAATATCCTCAACACATGCATTATAATTATATTAGAATCAATAAATATTTATATCTCAACCTTGATCCAGCCATTGTTTTTATTTTCACAAGGGATATACATATACATATATATACAGGCCTATATATACATATTTACATATATAAATATATATACATACATTTAATTTATATATATACGCTTAGAAGTATCCATAGGGGGAAACTAAAACAAGAGGGTTAAAAACAGTACCTTAAGGCGAAAGTAGTGTCGCTTAGGGGAAACTACGTTAAGGCGAAATCATAGACAAAAGAGTTTCCCCCTAAGAGCCGAATAAAGGTAATATATATATATATATTTATTATGTATGTATGTATAGATTAAAAGGCAAAATCCTGAAAAACAACAATGCTGTGGGAAACAATGGCTGGATCTCGGTAGAGATACAAAAATGATAAGCATCAGCTAAAAAGTAAACGTAATTAAACAGCCAGAAATAGAACCAGAGCAGTCGGACAACATAGTCCTTCCTCAATGGCGAGTGAGTGAGGGTAGAAAAAACCAGATAGTATAAAGTGAAAATTCCATGCAAGCATGATTGGAAACAATAGGCTGGGTGACATAGAATAAACAGTGAACAAATAAACAGGAAGGCCAAAACTAAACTTAAGAGGCATGCTTCAATAAATAAGCCAAATGATTTATCCAGAATAATTTGGAATGTCATTGGTTTAATTTAGTGTACTGGGAGAACGTTCCTAATATTAAGCTCAAAATGGTGTGGTGGTTTTAAGTAAAAGTTCCCAGTGATTCTCTTTATTTTTGCGAGTTTAGTCGCTCCAATTGGCATTATGGTCAATAGCAATCACTCTCAAATTTGAAATTGAATGACCAGCTAAATTGAAATGTTTGGCTACTGGTTGATCAAGCTTAGATGTTCTGATAACTGATCTATGTTGTGTCATTCTCATACGGAGAGTGTTTTTAGTTTCTCCGACATATCCTTTACCACAAATACTACAATATATGAGATAAATGACATTTTAGGTGAGGCAATTAATTGATTGCCTTATCCGGAATATGTGGTTTGTTTTGTTGCTCTTGAATGATTGTGTAAAATCAAGTAGGGAGCATGTTTTTCATGATGAACCACAAAGATGACTACCCAAATTATAGCAGTCGCAAGAGTTAGTTTGCCACTTGAAATTTGATCGTACTAATATATCACGAAGGTTAGGTGGTCTGCGATAGGCTATGAACGGTGTATCCGGAAACAGACCTAAGACGTTCTGTGGTCTGTAAAATGGGCATATGTTTCTGAATTATAGCCCTTAGTGGTGTAACCTAGGGTGATAGGTAGTGACCAGTGGCACTCTGGTTGATCGCTGACGTGGTTTGTACGTCAGTGTTTGAGCACGAGGTGTGTCCTTTGCTTTTTTCATATAGCATTTTCGATGGGTCCTCGATGATAATTTCTATTCCGGAGATGTCCGAAGAGCAAATGCGTCTCATGCGCAATGCTTGGCTGTATGGAATGTTTTTAGTACAGTGCGGGGGATGACAGCTGCTAAGGAGCAGGTACATATGTTTATCCGTGGGTTTACGGAAGAGATCAGTTTTAAGTGCACCATTTTCCATGGTCACGGTGATGTCCAAAAAATCTACACGGCTTGCGGATTTATTAGCAGTGAATTTGATTGTGGGATGAGCCGAATTAATGTTCAATAGGAACGTATCCAAACTATCTTCACCATGGGTCCAGATCATGAGGATATCATCAATGTAACGAAACCAAACATCTGGTTTCTTGGGCTGTAGGGACAGGAAATTGGCCTCAAATTGTCCCATAAATAAATTAGCAAAAGGTGGAGCCATTTTAGTGCTCACCGCTGTGCCATGAATTTGAAGGTAATGACCGTCGCCGAAAACAAAATTATTATTGGTCAGAATCAGCATGATAAGTTCACGTAGATGTAATTTAGATGGGGTTTTGCCCCGAATTTGTTTGTAATTTGAAATGCACGCATTAACATGAGGGATATTAGTATATAATGACGAAACATCAAGTGTAGCCAGAACAGTATTATTTGGGAAATTTGAAATTTGGTTAATTTTGCGGATAAAGTCCGTGGAGTCCTGAATGTACGAGGGGAGAGCAACAACATATGGTCTCAGTAAATCATCCACATATTTAGAGATTTTTTCTGTAGCAGTACAGTTGCCCGAAAAGATGGGTCTGCCAGGATGGCCTGCTTTGTGGATTTTGGGTAGGACATAGAAACGCCCTGGTGCCGGATCGACCTGAAGGAGATGGGGTCCAATTTTGGGATCGATGGAACCTTTACAGTTTTTTCCACTTCCTTAGAAATTTCCAGAGTGGGGTCCTCTGTGAGTTTCCGATAGTGAAGAGGATTGTTTAGTTGTCTTAAGGACTCCTCTTCATAGAATTTAATGTCCATTACGACAGTGGCAGAACCTTTATCAGCTGGTTTGATGATAATATCATCACGCTGACGCAAATTGGCAATGGCCTGCCTCACACTTTTTGTGAGATTGTCGCGTAAAATCTGGACTAGGAGCGTGGTTTTTAAAGTCCTCATCAATGGCCTGAATGAAAGTTTCTAAAGCTGGGCAACATTACCCGTGTTATCCGTGGTGTTGCCGTCGGAATCGGCAAAATTCACAGCATCTTTAACGTCGGAAGAAAGCTTCCAGATCCAAAGATAGTTGTTGTGGGTCAGCCTGCCTCGGTTTTGGGCAAAATTTCAGTCCTCGGGATAGAAGTTTGGTTTCTTCCTCGGAAAGCTGACAGTTAATTTGAACAACTGAATCCGTGGTGTTTCACGGATTA